TCGATACCAGCTACACAAAAAAGGAAATACTTTAAGGAACACTCTCTGCACACACGTTCTCTCGCCGCACCCACTCTCTACTTATCTCTCTCTCTCTCTCTCTATCTATCTATATATATATATATATTTTTTTTTTTAAGCATTACGCCCCGAGCAAGGCGTGAAGCCACTAGGATGCAGGGGGTTGCAGAAGATTTGGAGCGAGAGCAGATAGGAGTGATGATAGAAGAAAGGATGAGGAGAAGGATAGTGGGTAGATCAAGGTAACTGGAGGTGTCGATTGACATTACATTTGAATAGTTGGAGATTATAGCTTTCAGGAAACAGTAATTGGGAAGGGTGTTCCACAGGCGAGAGGTGCGAGGTATGAAGCTATTGGAGTAGAAGAGACGGCTACATTTAAAAGTTTCTACAGTATAAAGTGGGCGCGGGATGCCAGCTTCGTAGGGCGCTTGAATTCATGGAGTCTGGGAACCAGTGAAAGCAGCTCATCGGAGCAATTACAATGAAAGTATTTGTAGAAAAGACAGAGAGAGGCGACGGCGCGTCTGTGAGAGAGTGACTGTAGACAAGACGCCAGATCAGGGCCAATTACATTACATATCCGTCTCTGGATCTTGTCAAGAACTCCGAGGTAAACAGAAGGTGCTCCAGACCATATATGGCAGCAATACTCCATGCAAGGGCGAATGGTTGTTTTGTATATTTGAAGTATCGATTCCGGGGTGAAAAAATTTTCCTGGCGCGGCACAGAGAGCCAAGGTTCCTAGCGGTGGAAGAAGCAATTGACTCAATGTATTATATATATATATATATATATATATATATATATATATATATATATATATATATACTCAACTCTTTAGTCGAATTCGACGTATGAAGGTCAAACAGATCAGTTCCTAGGAATCGACATCCTGACACTCGGCACATGAGATTTGATTGTAGTGGTGATGGTTTTCTGCAGAATCATCCACATTTTTTTGAAAGGCCGAATACAGAGAAGACTTGGTGGACTACGTACCAAAAAGTCACTAAAATGACCTTTTGAATTCAGAGTTGTTCTTCTCCAGATTTATAAGCAAGACAGACGAGGATATTTATTCAAGGAAAGAATGAGCCCAAAGTGCGAATTGTAAATCGGATATATCAAAATAAAACAAGAACAAAAATTTAAATATTTAAGAAGTGTTCTAATAGAGGGCGTAAATTTCGACACTGAAATTTGAAGACGCATTGGGATAGCAAAAAACACTTTCCAAAAACTCAGCAGATAAGAAAAATAATCTTCGCTAGAAACAAGGAAAAGAGTACTAAACTGTTACTTGATAACTGTCTTCTTGTATAGTAGTGACTGTGCTGGATAATTTCATCAAAGATGAAGAAAAGACTCGAAGCAACAGAAATGTGGTTCTACAGAAGGATGCTGGGGATACCATGGACCATGTTAGCAACGACGACGTTTTAGAGAAAATATAAACAAAAAGGAAACATATCAGGCAGAGACAGTTGAAATTTCTAGGACACATGATGGGGAAAGATGACGTGGAAAATCTGATACTCACAAGAAAAACTCAAGGTAATAGGGACATGGGAAAAGAACACGTAACATATTTAGTGAGATTGAGTAAATGGATAGCGAAGCAGGGTTTAGGAGAAATAGCAGAAATACCAAATTTATTAATAGCTACAAAGGACAGGAAGTTGTGGAGAGCTATGATCGCCTACGTCATGAGGGAACAAAGTGCATAAAGAAAAAGAGGAAATTGTTATTTATTGGAAATAAATGACTACAGAGACGCTGACAGTAATTTCTTACGAGCGCCGCCATTTTGGTTTCAATACAGCGAAAACAAAGCTAAACGACATCCACAATACACAATATAATAAAATATGTCACAAAACAGGTCATATTGTACGTTAATCTATGTCTACGCACGTTTGGAAAAAGCACAGAGGGATAGTTTATTATATAGACGCTAGATTTCTGTATGGATTTCTGTGATGAGGAGGTATCATTATTTATATTCGGTCTTTGTTGCTGTCACCACAACATTTCGGCCTGAGTAACATCTGAGGAAGGTCGGAAAGTACAATGAATATAAACACTAAATGCTACGGAACGACATTTATCACTGTCTTGAAAACGGGTGTAACAGCAAAGTTGCCCAAATCGTGTAGCAGCATGCGATAATTGTCGCATTCAACAAAATGTCTAATATCTAAAAAAACAAAACAAAAAACCACAAAAAACACAGTTAACCAATTAAGTTTCCTTTTTCCCAGGTTTTCAGATTAGACGTTTAGCTATCTTGATACCATTTGTCGTAAGTATCACTGAAAATCCCTTTCAGTTATTTTGCTAGTTATTTTTGAGAACAGGTTAAAATCGTTTCCTGTCAATACGACTGCTTTCCTAAACGAGCAAGGATGAAAGGAAAAAGATCATTCATACTCTGGCTTTCGTTTTCAAAGAACCATCACGAGAACTGTGAATAAGTTTAAAAAAGAGGGAACAATAGAGAGGAAAACTAGGTCAGGTGGTCACAATAGCAAGAGGGATCATCATTTCAACTAAGAGCGAAATACATTCTTATTGCTCAAAGTAGAGTCCAATTTTTTGCTGTTAAATATTAATTTTACCCCGACTTCGAAGTTTTCTGGTAAGATTTCTGTTCTCTGGGGATCCAGTTTTAGAAATATCATTAAAAACCGACCCCACTGAAAAAGTCGGGGTAAAATTGACATTTAAAAATTAAGTATATATATATATATATATATATATATATATATATATATATATATATATATATATATAATGATGTTCAACTTGTAAAAAGGCCCGTGAGTCACTCGAGGTAAAAAGGATACAGAGTGTGTGGAAGCTGAGGTTAAACCTCGACTTGAACAGGTTAATATTTTAATGATCGAGGAAGCATCCTCTTGGTAGCCAATTCCACAAAGCCGCAGTTCGTGATAAGATGCTGCTTGAGTTGAGCCGATGAAATACAAACGGTTCACTACAAGGTGTGTGGAAAATAATTTGTCAACCAAAATGGTGTGGAGACCCTTTAGGACTCTATCGAGACTGGAAAGTTAAGACTGGGATGCTCCTTCCCATATATGGCAACAATACTCCATTCTTGGACTGTTCTGGCTCTTGTAAAGGCTCAGGAGTCGGCTACTTACTGGTGCAGTAAAGGGAATCGACCAATTTTTTTTAGCCTCTGTATCGACGTATCGTATATATGAGTTCCACTGGAGGTTTGGGTTGAGTTTAAGTGCCAATAGGCACACAAGGCAGATCTGATTAGTGATAGTTCAGGCTCCGATCGCCGATGATGGAGTGTAAATGGTTTGCTGCTTTTGGCATTGAATGTAACCAGCCAGTATATATCGACAACAAGCCTTGTAGGTCTCATAAAGACGTATAAGTACGTTCATAGCAGAGGAACCGCTAAACGCAAACTTTATTTTCAGCTTAGTCTATATTTGGCCAACTAATTGAATGAGAACTACTTCATAGAGTATTGCGTTCATCTTAATTTCATTTGTTATTTATCGCAACTCCCAATACGTCATTTTAGAGTTAAAATTGGATGACTGGTGATCTTTGTGATCGAATAGGTAGGGTTGCTCTCGCATTAAGACAAGCTACCAGAGAATAAGTAATAAAGTTCAGGTCCACTGGAGTTTTAATCTTTATTTTTGCAAATCATTTTACTTACGATAATTACTGTTTTCTAGTTGCGACAAAAAGCTACTGATATTAAGATGAAAGAAATCTCAGTTAAAAAAATGTACATATAATACGCCATGTGTTTTAGTATATTTTTTTCTATAACATTTTTCTTCAGAGAGCATAACTCTCAAAATATTACTAATTTTAGTTTTAGCCTCCTTAAACTGGTAACATTTTGCACTGAAATGTACGACACCATGTAGCATTGCTTTTGTTGTAATAATAGCGGAACGTTCGACTATGTTTCAACGTAAAAAGATCAACCCAATCAAAGAGCGGAGTACAGCAATAATAACTGGAAAATATTTTTCAAATCTCACACATGAAAATATTCTAAAAATAGTAAGGAGATGTCATTATATGATTCATTTGTGTTCTAAGTGCTTAAAACCTTGGTAAACAACCTCATTCAGTTTCTATTATTATTATTATTATTATTATTATTATTATTATTATCAAAGCTAGATTTTTATTTAATTTAGCCACCATAGAGAAATTTCCCTGTCCGCCATCAGCATGGCAGATGCTCAACTCCAGGAAAACGACTCACTGAACCTTCATGGACTCACGTTTTCAACCGACTTGAAGTGGAACAATTACATTGAATCAATAGATGCATCTACTTCAAGGAAAATTGGTTCATTGTGTCGTGTCTGAATGTTTATCGTATCCGAGTCTATCATGCCCATTTACAAATCTACCATTCGTCCGTGCATTGAATACTGTTGCCATATCTTGTCTGGTCTCCCGGCTGTTCATTTCGAGGTTCTTGACAAAATCCAAAGATCTGAAAAGTAATCGATCTTGACTTGGCATCTTCAGTCACTTTCTCACAGACGTGATGTGGTTCCCCACCCCCTGTCTTTTCTACAAACATTTCCATGGCAACTGCTCTGACAAACGTTTTTACCTCATCTACATGAATTTAAGCGTACTACTAGATTGGCATCTAGTTTCCACCCTTTTACTGCTAAAATAACTAAATGTAACCACCACTTCTACTCCAACAGTTTCTTTTCTCGCACTTCCCGCCTGTGTAACTCTCTTGCGTTTACTTGCTTCCCTGATAACTACAATCTTAAAAGAAATTAAATGCAACATCGATTGCCATCTTCTGTTTTCCTTAACTCCGTTCATCTTTTATGCTTTCCTCATTTTCCCCAATACACAGTCTTTTCACTCTCTGTAAACCCCTTTGTACTAGTGGACCTCGAGCCTTGCTTGGGGTGAAATTTAAATTTTAAAATTAACTTTGAGCTTACGGCCAAATCATGCTGAAACACAGGTTCCCGTACGACTATCAAAGTTAAGCAACGTCGAACTTGGTCAGTACCTAGATGGATGACCGTTTGAGAATAGCAGGTGCTGTAAGCTTGGATGTGCGGGTGGTGTTAGCTTCTTGGGAAAACTATGAATCCACACTTTTCACCCCTAGTTATATGTTAATTAGTAAGGCTTGTATCGCTAAAACCATTATTACCTAAAAAATAATCTTTCAATCTAAAAATATTTTCTGGCTTTAAATAACCTGCAAAGGCTTGATAAACGAAAAAAGCTTGATAGAAAACGAATCAAGCAATCACTATAGTAATGCTATTTATAATTAAGAGTAAGATTAAAGCAAAACTTCCACTTTTCTAATTAAAAACAATAAGAGTTTAGGTCTAGTAACGTTCGCCTGCTGTGTTTAAATTTTGCATTAGAACAAATTTAGACTTCATTTGTGGCTATTTTCAGTGCCAGAAATGGATTACCCCATTCTACAAAAACATAATTTTCTGATCAAGAAAGGAAAGTTATGATGAAAACTAATATTTGGTGCCCGGCGTATGATGTTAAAAGCGGATAATGATCAATTTAACGTATGAAAGTAACTGAATACTTTTAAAATATTTTTCCGACAACAATTTTCTTACAATTTGCAGAGTTAGATTGTTTTAATACTTGCGACCTGACACTAAAAAGAATAAAACAATTCTCTATGGCCTTAGCGTTATTTGAAGTCGGTGTGATCAGAGACAAAAAAGAAGGCAAAATGTGACCAAAAAATTGTGCTAATTTGATTGAATTTTGTGTTATAGGCCACCCCCCGATCTATTTGGTATAAGTTATTTATTTTTTAGTGTCATTTAATCATGTCTGTCATTTATGCATTTCAGCAAGTGAGTTTCCCAGCAAAAAGAGTCAGAAAAAAAACCCAACTAATCAGGACAGATTATCTAAAAATAAGTGATTAAATATGTGTGAGATTTAATTAACTTCGAATGATCATTATTTGTGAAGGCTTGTGTCTGTACGTTTATATATTGGATCGGATTTCCTACATTTTTCAACCGATTTCAACAAAACTTCACAGGACTACGTAAAATTACCTTGCGGTCACTGTGACAGCGATAAAAATTGAAAAACACAATTGTTTTTGCACGAAATCAATTTGAAAACATGATTAAGAGGCATCGCGAGAATGAAAGGGGGACAACTTATATCGAGTTATACTTAAAACCCAGGTTGTGTGTGTGTGTGTTCGTTTATATATGGGATCGGATTTCCTACATTTTTCAACCGATTTCAACAAAACTTCACTTTTTTGGCAGGTAGTGTTTCTTATTTTCTTGCACACTTTTTTCTTTATTTTTTACATTCAGAATGCTTTAAAAATTCCATTTACAAGACAATTGTTTATAATAAAATTTTATTCAATTGGTAGACTCATAACGATTGGAAACAATGTTTTTGTTTGAGTTTGAGTTTGACCAATTCGTAAAAAAAACCCCAAAAAACAAACAAAAAAAAAACTAATTAAGACATACGTGTCCGTCAACCTTAAACAATAATCTTTGTCAATTTTAATTTTCAGTCTTTATGATGGTCGATACTTGATCTATCTCTTACTGTTACATCCCCGGGCAACGCCGGGCTCTACTGCTAGTGTCTAATAAATGTCATATACACATAAACGTGTTATAATAATTTTAGTGAATATGAGATATCTTAAAACCTGAATCTATGCAGAGTGACATCTTAGATTCTGTGGATTCGTATCTATCCTCTCGCCGTTTTGTTTATGTAACTATACTTTAACATTTCTGGTGAGATAAATGCAATGCATAACCAGAATGCTACCAGAACATGCAATAAAAATGGAATAGAAATATATCTGTTTCATAGACTACACAAAAGCATTAGATAAAGTACGATCTTTTTGAACTGCTAGGTAACTTGATTTACCTGGGAAAGATATTAAAATAGTCTAGAACATTGACTGGAGAGAAAAAAAGTCATTTTACACTATTTACAATGTTCGAATTGTTGTCCTCATCTGTGTTGTCATATTCACAATGTTTCGGCCGTTGTACGATCCGGCCTTCTTCAAGTGATTGGAATTTCGAACCAAAGCCTTTATTTCGTTCACTGGGGTAGATTGTACTAGTTGCACGTGCCATGCCTCTTCTGGATATCTCAGTTTCAGTTATTTCCTTATTACTAACTCCAAGTTTTTGTTCCCCTCTCGCCAGATATTAAACTCAAAACGCTTTGGATCAAGTCACCGGATTCCTTAAACCAATAATTTTATTCTCGGGGACATGAGTTGCTAGAAAGAGGCATAAGACAGTGATATTTCTTCTCACCGGATTTATTTATGCTACACAACGAGATGATCCTAAGAAAAGTAAAACTTCTAACTGAATTTATTATTGGTGGTGAAGTTATAACAATACACAGATGACACCGTTACTGATCACAGACAAAAAGAAGATTAAAGAAACTCCTATACAAGGTAATAAATGAAAGCGAGAATAAAGGAAAGAATATATGGTCGTAAGCAAAGTGGGCAGCTCAAGATACAAGCTAAGAATTAGAGGAATCAACATCAAGCAAGTACAGGAAATTAATTGCCTGGGGAGTATTGTAACAGACAATTAAAAATGTAACATAGAAATCCGAAGATTCATTAGAATTGAGAAATAAGCTTTCCAGAAGTTAAACAAAGTATTAAGAAACGGGAAAATCTCTTTAAAAATAAATATGTGCCGAACAGCTATGCATTACGGTGTTCGGAAAATAATGTCACATTTTAGAATAAAGATTTTAATTGTGTTCTAATATATTATTATAATAGTTGTAGAGAAATATATTACTCATTCCTAATGATTAAAGTGTCCTCTTTGTTAATTTTATATTAATCTTTTTCAGAATTTAACTTAAAATATTATATACCCCACATCTTAGGCATGAAAAATGAGGCAATGCAGTTACTTTTTTTACATGAGGTCAAGCTTAGTTATAATGCTTCTCAAAGTGCTACCAACATTAACAGAGCATGGGACGAAAGATCTTCTTATGATCGAACAGTACATCGCTGGTTGCTGAATTTCTGCAGAGAGGATAAGAGTTTTGAAGATCAATGTGGTAGGAGACGTCTACCTGCAATTAACAATCAACATCTGAAAGCACTAGTGGAACAAACCCCGTGTCAGAGAAATGCCTCATAAAACAGGTGTTAACATTTTAGTAAATATCGGACCATCTCAAGAAAAACGCGATAAATGGGTTCCACATGAACTCAGTGAAAGTAAAACAGCTCGAAGCTTTGAAATGTGTTTAATGCTGCATTTGCGAAATTCGAATATGCCATTTCTTGATCAAATAGTGATTTATGATGAGAAATGGATTTTTTATAACAATACTATACAATCGGCTCAAGAAGATTACAGTGACTGTCTTGTCGTCCGCTGTTGGCCTCATCCATTACAGCTTTTTGGAAACTAACCAGAATGTCATTGCCAGTAACAAGATGAAATGCACATTTAGTTAAGAAAAATGTAATCAACACTGGTTAATTGACGAGGTTCAATTCCGCTTCATGACAGTGATCAATCACGTTGTGGTAACTACCACCACCATTACATACACACAGTACATAGAAATCATGCAACAAGCATTCATTGGTTGATCTCCTCAAAACTAGCTCGATGATTGGTCACTTCCGACCAATCAGATATCCTGCACGCGAGGAATGAAATTTCCCGCTAAGGTTGAGCCGATCACGTGATACACCGTCTTATATAAATAAAACATGTGTAAGCACTCTCTCTTCAGTCTCTCTTGCGTCGTCTCAATCCTTGCTGCCAAAATGTAACCTTCAAGAACTCCCGTCTTGACCATTCAGTCAGACGTTAAAGAACATTACAACATTCACGCAAATACAACTCTTAACACTTCTGTTTTATCAACTTTATCCAATACACAATTCCTTAGATGCTAAAGGAACTTTATTCTTCTAAACTACAGTTTAATAATTACTTCATCTTTATGAGCTCAGGTACAAATTATTTTCAAATCTAAGAGACATAATTCTATCAAACCTTCAGCTTATATGCATGTACAGCTAAACACTAATACATTCAATTGTTATGTTTTGAATCATTACGTTCAGTCTTGTATTTTATACTATGTGCTATTTTACGTCAAATATAAATTGCATTGTGCACGCCACATTGGATAGTAATCTCCAGCGTCTTTGCTTTCCTTAATCACGCCTTTCCTAGTCAAAAGATAAATATATGTAGTACACATACACACCTACAACATGTTGTGAGGATGACACTGCTGAAGCTTACCGACTTAGGATATGATATTTGCCACATCCACTGTTTTCCTCTAATCTTTCGCAAACTGATTACCGCTTTTTCAAGCATCTTGGCAATGTTTCTTTATCCAAAAGACATTTCGTTGCAAAGAAGACGCAGACTCTGAATTCAAAGAAATCTTGGCGTCCAATCCTTTAGAGTTTTATAGTAAAGACATAAATTAACTTGTAGTTCAATGGTAGAAATGTATAGATGTTCAAGGTTCCTATTTGACTGAATTGTTTAAATACATTAATTCAGGAATAAAAGTTGATTCTAAAATAATATCAATCCTCCTAAATGGAAATAAATACTGTGATAACAACAATTAAGATAATACAGTATTCAGAAATTATAATTACGTTGATATCTACTGTAATATTATTTATAATCGTAATATGCGCCGTTAGGACTCATCTTGATCTCCTTTCATTTGTCACTATACAAATAAACTTTAATGTTATTTATAATCGTAATATACACCTTTAGAAGCTGTCTCTGCTTCCTTTAATCTGTTACTGTACAAATAAACTGTAAGGTTATTTACACTTTTATTTATCTTTTCACGTGGTTCCTTGAATAAACATTGCCATTTACAATAAGTCGATATTTCTGTCCTATTCTGTATTTTTTTCTAGCATTCCGAAATTCGAAATCTTCTGAAAGATTTCAGTTCTCAATATTTTCAAATAATCAGATAAGTGATTGTGTGTACAATCCCATATAAATTATTTGCATCTCC